GCCGCTCTGACGATTAGACCTGTTAACATGAGAAATGGAGAAGATAACGCACAGCAGATACTCGAGGAAAACCTTCGTATTTCGAACTGAAGCTTGTGTAGAGCGACACCTAATCCACAAAGATCGCCGATCATTCGGTAACGGTAGCAAGAGTTCTGCGAAACCACCCACCCTACTAACGTCACGCAGCTACCAACTTTCATGACTTACCGCTTGCCTACAAACACAAGCACACTGCTGGTCGTTGGCCGAAGGCCTATTCCTACAGAAATACGGCAATACTTTTCTCTCAGTTACAATTTTTTAAGGAAATTCAGTTCAAGTAAAAATAGTGGGAGGGGGGGCTCACCGCATTTGGCGAATTCTTGGAATGTAAGAAGAGTATAAGGCGATCGACTGGAAGGCCAAGAACAAATTTTCGTGCAAACCATTTCTAAAATATTGGTAATTTCGCCTGCAGCCACGTCTAACCTTTTCTATCAGCAATGAATCGATCTCCATCCAATGCTCTAGGGCTATTAGTGGCTCCAAGGCAAGCCAGCGAAAAACTTCATCGGACATCTAAAAAGGAATGAAAGGTTGTAAGATCAGCTTTCCGGTCTATTGATCTAGTGGCACCAACTATAAAACAAGCAACGCCCGACGTGATATTCACGTCGGCCTGAGGTAAAACAATATTATCGATTGCAGTCGGGTTACTCAATGACCTAAGAATAGTTGGCACTTCCCGATTTCAGTAAACGAAGCATCAGTAAGACAGGAAGAAACTACAGATTGAATGACAGAAGTCTAGGCGGACGTCACCGAGATAAGAGTGGAACAGTCAGTTATGCAAGACTTACCTTGTGCTTAATCTTCAACTGATGTGATCGGCTACCGTTCGTAGCCTTGTTGTCCATTAGAATGCAAGCTATTATTGTATTTGCGAGGTTTTGACCAATAAGCTGTCCGGAAAGTTCACCTAATAGCGATTTTACATGTTCGTTAGCGGAGGGAAGTGTCTTCTCGACAAATTCTAGCCACTCGGAGTTCTGACAAAGGGGTGTTGTTTAACAAAATGCAACGGCAGACAAACCGCTTGTGTTTGAAATTCAAGAAGGTCAACGGCCTGCAAGGTGGAAGCGTTCATTGCGGCTAGCTGAGGATTGGAGGACAGCTCAGTTCTAGGAAAAATTAGGAAAAAAATATCTCGCAAGGCTACCGTACACAGCGAAAATTCTGAGGGTATGAATGTGCTTCTCACAGTCTTGTTGTGTTGTTATGTCATCGCCAGAGAGAAGACGCCTGAAAGAATATATCTATTCAGGTTTGGAGTAATGGGGTTAAATAAAAAAAAAGACACAAACCTTTGAATCCTGAATACGACCTTTTGCTCTAAAATCATATTAATGACAAAATTTAATCAACTACTCATAGAGAGCACTGGCATCTGTAACTTGCCCCGTTTCGTTCAAAAAGCGTACATAATGGTTGTAACTGAGGTCATTTTGAAGTAGAAGTTGAAAGAAAATCTCTCGATCTAGACGAGACTTTACCATCAGAATGACCTAAGGAGGAGTGAAGCGCGTTTTAGACATGCAGAAGGAAGAATCTCACCTGAAGCAAGAAATCGCCGTCAAGTGTTTCTGCAGCAAGTTCAAGGAGTTTGCGTTTAGCATCCAGCGATACAAACATTTCTACCGGCCAGGAGCTTATGGCACCACAGCGGAGATCAGCCACGCATGTACGAAGGCTCTGCGTCCAACATTCCTCAGAAAATGAGTTTAAGGAAGGCGGAGAAAAAACTAACTTCAGAACAAAAGAGAGCATCGCGTTCATATTTCTCTACCGTAATTACTTTTTTCTTGCAAAAGGCACAATTTTCGTTTGTGTAAACTGAAAGTTTCGGAACAGAGAAGAAAAAAATGTCTTACTTGGAATAAAAGAAGGTTCTATGGTGTCTCCTCTGAGATTAGGCGTCAGGGGACCTAGTTTTTTTAAGCTGAAGGGAAAATGTAACTAACCAGAATATAAGTTATTATTTGCAGAATCGACGTCCTACGCATGTGTAAATCATCAAAATTAACTTACATCGAAACTGAAGCCTTGCACTTCGCTTTCTTCCCAAATATCGGTATCAGCAGATGCACACATAATAGCCCTCTTCTCTAGGAAGAATTCTGCTCCTTTTAGTTATAGAGTAGGCGTCCTTGAACTGTCCTAAAGTTTAAAGGTAAAACTTAGGTATGGTCTGCATAAAAACGACAAACTTAAAAAGTTAAACCGAAAAAACTAATAAAAGGCAATATATTTGTATTTATTAACAGCAACGGTTACCAGTGCCAAAATGCAAATTAAGATCGCAAGTCAAAGAAGACCGACTCATAAATAGAAAATCCACAGTAGCTGACTGTCGTTGACTTAAATGTTCCTTGAAATTTCGGGTCTGATACTGAAAAAGCGGGTTCCGGTCACCTTAGTCCATGTTCCATATCTCATATTTTTGGAAATTATTACCTTGATAATTCTGTGAAGTGTTTATACCAAAAATTCGCATAGAGGACCCTGGGGGACCCACAGAAGAGCCAAACTCTCGCTGCTGCGTAATATAGAAGCAGGATGCCGGCGAAACACCTGCCTGGGCTTTCAGCCAGTATCCATGCCGGCAGAACGGTTGAATGGGCATAATGTGCTTATTTTACGGTATTTTATTGATATGGAGTCGAATGTCCATTTGATTCTGATCTGAAAAAGTAAAATGTCTCAGTTTTGGCTGCTTGTGTGCAACTAGTTACCTGACTACGTAGAGAATGTGAAGAGACTGTTCGGTGGATTGCATCTGCAGGAAGTCAGCAAAGTACAAATGTAGGCAGAGATTAACAGTAGCAGCT